TTTTTAAAAAAAAAAAAAAAAAAAAAAAAAAAAAGCACTTAAATTGATTATACAGTTCGTGATCTATGGCATACATAGTAGGAAAGATTGAATGATATTAAGGAAGAAAAACAAGTTAAAATCTTTTTTATTATAGTTTCCAGTTCTACATTACGAACATGCAGCTAATGGTCTAATTTACTATTCATGTCGGAATGTGGAGGGTAAGCTTACCTTTGAAATTTTTGGCACCACCACCAACAAAATCTATGGCTCGAGTATTCATCGTACCAAATTTTACATCCTTGCAGGATTCAAACATTCCCTCACCAAAAGTGTCAGTTATGTAAAACTCGATTCCATCCACAGTGAAATTCTCCCTAACCTGAAAAGATTGTAAACAAAAGATAAACGATAAGAAAGAATGAGATTCCAACAACAAAATTTCTTTTCAGTACGTCCAAAAATGGAATATGTGGGTCAACATTTGCAAGATCAGCCTCTTGCTTAAAAGCAAATGAATGGAGAGGAAAGATAATTTCAGTTTCTTATCCAACAAAACATAGATAAACTCTGTGGATATCGTCTTTAAAAGGATCATTAGATTAATTGAAAAGAGGAAGTAAGAAAATGATGCATCTTTCTACAATAATTGTCATAAATTAATCGTCAATTCTATATTTTGAGAGCAATAATAAATAGAATGAAAGCAAGAAATTACATGATTTAAGGCGGTTCACTCTCAATTTGAGAGCTACGTCCACCTAATACCACTGCAGAATTACACTGTAGCAAAGAAGAGGATTACAATTCACGCTTCTCTCTGTTTTCTCTCTATTAAGGGGCACAAAAGAAGGCTCGCCCTAAAAATATTAGGACAACCTAATACATGTGTGACAGTGTGAGATTCCCAAAGTACCCATATAACACTTCACATATGAGTAAATTACTGACCTTGGAAACAGAAGTCACATTGATAAACTGACTTTGGTTAGGAGAGCATGAAAGCTCGCAGAATAGATTCAAAAAATTCTCAAACATGCTGGACAGCCAACAAGGGACGGCCAGCAACAAAGATGCTAAGAGAAAATAAGTAATTCATTTTGGGTTTGGGGGCACATATCATGGGTGTATGGAAATAAATGAAAATAATCACGTGATAGAATAGAGCTTCATATGATACACCAAAAGCATCACAATGCTGCAAGATATATACAAAAAATGCATACATTGCTCAGTTTTTTTTACAGATAGTAAAATCCTCAATTCAATAGAGGACTATTTATCAAGTCATAAATGAAGAAATTCAAAAACTGCACCCAACTTTAAATTGAAGCAGTAAGAGACTAATGATTTCTCAAGTCATAATCCCAAAAGTAACCTGGAACCATTTCTTTTTGCAAAGGCATTACTAGAAGCATGCTTGAATAAGCTTAAAAGTTACTTTTAAGTAACTTTGTTCGCCAAACATGGTTGAGATTTTTTATAAGTTACTTTCTTACAAAGGATGCTAGAACATATCGATGAGTTCTTGTAGGAGAGAAGATGAATCCGCTACTGAGTTTTAAAAGTAGATCTTTACTGATTTTATTGAAAAGGTAGTATTTCTTTTTTAAGCTTAGATAAACATGATCGAGCTTCAATAAAATTAGAAATCTATCGTTGTATATAAGGATTAGAGCCACCACGATGAAAAGTTTCAAAAAACTTCACAAGGAATAGAAAGACAGAAAGTTGATGACCATCACCGCTTACCTGCTGGACTTGTGCCCGTAAAGTCTCAAACTGTTTCTCTGTACAACATACATTTCCTGTAATTGTGGGGCACAAACTTTGAATCTTTGATGATGACAATTCATCAGGCTGTAAGCATTAAAAAAATAATAAAAAAAATTACAATATCAGAATATCTGATTAGACACATTGGAGGATCAAACAATAGAGGAGAAGAAAATAATGCACTACTGGCAGTACCTACCTTCACAGACGAGGAACTGAAGGGACAATTAAGTACTTTCCCATCACTAAGAGTTCCGCAAATGTCGTACATGGCACGATATCCTTCTGAATGTCTTTGTCTAACAACCAGAAATAGTTTTAATGATTCAATAAAGATTGCCAAAGCTTCAATATTCACAAAGAAATTAATCGATCAAGAGCCCATAACTAGAAATGTCTAACCACCTCGTCTGGTAGCAATGAGAGAGATGACAAAGTTATTTTACGCATGCAAGTGATTCTTCAGCATAGATTAACAGAAACCAAATGACACGCGTAATTGCAGAAGCTGATCATTTATGAAATTTGTGCACCTCTCAGATATTTATCAAAAAGAATGAATCTTGGCTTCACAAGAGAAGGGCTTAAACTTTTATACGAGGTAGTTCAATCATCATTTAGTTCATTGGGATCGGTCAATTACTGTTAGTATCATTTCAAAGAAAAATATAAACTCACCCTCGACTGTTATTGGCCGCTAACAGAAACCTTGTATCAGTCCTGTCAGCGTGTACAAATACTATGAAAAACACCTGCAATCATATTCATTTTCAAATCAAAGCCCATTAGAATTTAGGATTAAACTAGTTGTACAAGCTCGGTGCGCTTCCTGTGAAGAGCAATGTCTAAAAAAATTCCACCGCACAAGAATGTCAAAGTTAACGAAAAACATTTTTAGCTTGATTGTAGAATTTATATTAAGTTTTGCTAAAATCATTTCAAGAAGAACCTTAAAAATATCTTGGCAACTAACCTTAAACATAAATATTGTAAAGCCATTACGTTGCCGAAGTCTCATTCTTGATATTCTAAATTCAAATCAAAATGTGCGAACGCACGCACACGCGCGCGCGTCTCATTCTTGATATTCTAAATTCAAATCAAAATGTGCACACCACACACAAATCAAAGGAACGAAAGCGAGTAATCTTCCAGTTTGGACCAAAAATACCCTTGCTCTTTAAAAAAATTTGAAAGATTGAATAAGTGGAGAAAATAAGGCACTAAATTATAAATTGCCAAAAATGAGAGTGGACAAGTAGATAATAATTGGGGGAAATACAAAATTTATGGCTAAAATGTTGGTTTCATTTTAACTTTAAAATCATTAAACCAAACAAGCACATCAATGTTTGGTTTATGAGTATAAATGCTGAAGTCACTTTTTATTAGACATTTCGGGAAACTCACAAATAATACAAACTTATACACTACTCATTTCAATTCATTTATAATTTATCTCGGTCTCCATTTTTTAAAATTCATTTTGTCTCAAACTCAGTTTCAATCATACATTTCATAAAATCTACAACTTTTGGAAAATGTTTGTTTTACTTCACCTTTTATATAATCTTTTAAAGATTGATGTGGTGTAAAAAAGAAAGTGGAAGAATTTTATTTATTTATTTATTTTTGGTTGATGAGATTTTGATCAAAT